CGGGGATTAGAGAGGGAGCGCCTGCGTTCTGCATGATCGGGCCGCGGCGTGGGGGACGTAGCCCTTCTCCACGCATCGATCCGAGCATGCAAACCATCGTTCACAAAAATCACAGCAAGAGGAAGAGAGGGAGGGCGGGAAAGACGAAGCGCACGAAGAAAGATACAGTTACGATAGCGCCTGCCCAAAATTACAGTTACACCAACGATTACAGGCGCCAATTAATCAGAGATCCGTTGCAGCCGCGCGAAGAAGCGTGTGAACAAAAAGCGTCGCGCAGCTGGAAAAATCCTAATTCCTAAATTCCTAAATTCCTATCTAATGCGAAAAAGCAAAAGGCACAAATTCCAGAAGGAAAGTCCGAAATTCCGAGAGTCATCGGGACTCAACAAAAATTCAAAAAGGTTTCAAAAGAAAATTAAAAAAAAGCGCAGCAATTTCCCGCGCGATGTCCGCGCCCAAAAGATCGAAACCGAACCGAAAGAAACGACGTCGACATTTATTAATCGCGTGCGAGGTGGCGTGCCAGACATCCATCCGACCAATCACTCAACCGGCCGTCCCAGGACACACCCAGCCCCGAAGAAGCGACGAAAAAGACGAAGAAGCAAGGGTACTGGTGCAATTTTCCACCGATCCCGATTTCCCATAATTGGCCCAATCTTCCCAGCTTAGGACCCCTCGTTGCAACCGTGCAGAAACTCGCGCGTTACAGAAAGTGGTTCGTCACATATGTGACGCCCAGGGGGTTCCAATATTAGCAAGCTCCTGCTTGCTTGTTGACACGTGTCGATTTCTCTAATCGATCGACACGAGGAGCACTTAACTTTATGCCACTTACCGTTCGATTGCGTGCGGACGTCATCCAACGTGGCAACTTTGCTCTTCTACTACTTCCTCAGATTGGGCTCTCGACGATCCAAGGACGGGATTTTCCTCATGCCTTTATCGCGACACGCATCCATTACCGGTTGCATCAGTAATTAACTGGAAGGGGAAAAGGGAGCCGGTGCATGGCGGCATGGCGGGGTGGAGGGCTTAGGGGTAGTGGGGGCAGGAACCTTTCCATCCCGGCTGCAGATTCTGGAAGCGCTTGGTAGCGGACGATGCGGTGGAAGCGGGGAAAACGGTTGCCAGTGCGAGGGAGGGACGCGAGGTAATCAGGATAGAGGGTGGTGAGAGTTCGGAAAAGTGCCGCGCGGAAACGATCGCGATCTTCGCAGGCGGGGGTGGTCCCCGTTACTATGCAATAAAMCTCGATCATATTGTGGCCTCGCCACGCGGCACTAAGGAGCAAAACATGGAGGCAGAAGGTTGGGACAGCGTACTGAATGCAGGGGTGGGGGTGCACTACTTTAGCGAAGCGAGCAGCATAGAAGTGGCGGAATGCGTCGCGGGGGAACGGATGAGAGGGGAACGTAACGGGGGTGGTGAGCTGGCGGACGGTGAGGTATTCACGGGGACGACGAGAGAGCGATCGGGGACGAAGAACGATCGCCCGTATCGGTACGTTGGCAAACTGGGGGACGGGTTGGGGAGGAGGGGGATCGGCTCCGTCCCCTCGCTGATGAGGAAAGGTCGTGGCCGTGAGGTCGCCATGTTCTGGTCGGGGCGGCTCCGGATCTCGGTTTGGGTCGTCGTAGACGTGCAGGCTTGCCCCGCTCGCAAACTCTAGCTTCCTCTTCGTGACCGCGGTTTCTTCTCTTTTGCGGGCCGCCTCCGGATCTTCAGCCTCCGTGCCCGTGCGTAGCGCTTCTTCCGGCACAGCTCCCCACTCCGATTCCGCAGATCCTTCTTCGTTCTCCTCTTCTCCTTCGTCGTCCTCTTCTTCTTCTTCGCTCTGCTCTCCCTCGCTATGCTCACTATAGCTTCCTTCTTCGAGGGTTTCGTCCTCTTCCCCGAGTACTTCGTCGTTTTCCCCACTTTCTTCCCGCTCGTCTTCTCCTTCGTCACTCTCAGTGCTTTCTTCCTCCTCTTCCTCCTCTCGAATGGCAGCAAGCTGCTTCGCCGTTGGATGCCTGAAGAAGGCAGGATCGCGAACCGTCTGGGGATCCAAATACTCCTGCTGCGACAGCGGGATGGCTCGGCGGCTCCCTCCACACAAGCCGACCACTGGAGATACGGCATCAATGTGCGAGAAAGCACATGAGGAATCGGGTGCTCGTCGTCTTGCGAGAGGATGTCGAGAGGGAGATCATCCGCCAGCTGCGCTACCGGGATCGTGAATTCTTGCGCGATGAGTTCCTGATGTCCGGGCTGCACTGTACCGAACAGAAACGCGAGGAGTTCTCCCTCCACGTTGGTTCGCCAAGCCTGGATGAACAGCAACTCCAAGCGCTTTATGCAAGGCTGGTGCGCCTCGTCCTCGATCCACGTCAGCCGTACCTCAACCAAGCACAGTGAAAGCTCGACGAAGTCTTCGCGCCACAGGTCCCAGTGTGGGGAATGAATGTCGGGGACAGCAAGGGTCGTTAGACAGTAGGAAAGGTGAGGATGGATATCAGACTGCCAGAAGGTAGGGAAGGTGGAGGGGAGATAAAAAACAGAGATCGGGGAGAGACTCATTGGGGGCGAGGGAAGGGAACAACAACAGGGAGAACCGCCGACGGATCACGCTGGTACACCCGAAGGCCGTCGTATTCGATTGCTCACGTCGCTGCGACCGTGTTCCCGGGATGAGCCAGAAGTTGGGTCCACTCGGCGACCAGATCGTTTGCCCACGCGTGCAGCGATGTCTTCACTGCCGAATGCCATAACGGGAGGAGTGTGGAGAGATCGCCACTGAAGTTGATGACGACCGACAAGCGGCTGACACCTGGCACCGCTCGCTGATGAACTGTTACTGCCTCGGCCAGTACCACTTCGCTGGGCCGACCTTCGATTCTGAACACCGCCGCTGCATACACGCCTTCCGTGCAGAAAAAGTGCGCAAGCTGCCGAAGATCCGGACTGAGGCGGGGATGATAGACTTGCCGGATCGTCAATCGATCGCGGGGCGCAAGCGATGCTTCGTTGAGGGCTCTCTCCTCTAGAAAACTCATGGCGATGGCGATGGAGAGGAAGAGAGGGAGTAAGAGGAAGAGGGGGATGGTGGAGAGTCAGAGCCGTCGTTCTTGGTTTCCTCGCAAGGAGAGATGGAGGGAGAAGGGGACGGACCAGAGGGGAGAAGGCGAAGATAGGACACGTGGCGTGTGATCGGGCAGGCCGATCGGCTGCCAGAGACCTCAGGGGCGAGGCGCATGGTGTCCACACCGTTGGGGCCGAGCTCAATCACGCGATATCGCCCGAAGAATCGTGGCGCTAGCTTACCCTGGCGAGCACATTTCCTCACATGCACCACGTCCCCCAATTTGTAATGGGGCCGTGGACCCGCATTCCCATTTCGGGCCTCGTAGCTCCGGAACTGCCGGCTTGGGCTAGTTCGGTCATTTTCTGTCGTTTTCGGGCTAGCCTGGGCAGTGACCATTCCATTAGCTCTAGGTGTCGTTTGGCCTTGTCCCTAGCCGTGACCCTGGTGGGCCGTCGGTTCAATGTAGACTCGTCCGGGAGGCTTGGTATTGAAACACAAGCGACGCTATTGGTCCTTAATTGGAAGGGGCTCAGCCCCGTCGATTCGTGGGGCGTTCCGCGATGGACCGCCAGGATGTGATCGACGATATCGGGCCAGGGTCTTGGATCCCGTGCCGCGATGTTTCATCGCAACGCTGTCTTTTTCACCCGGTTAGTGTTTTCGACCAGTCCATTGGATTGTGACATATGGGGTGCAGTGTTACGTATGGCGACGCCATGTAGGACTAGATTCCTTAGTACTTCTCCCTTGAATTCAGCCCCGTTGTCGGTCAGGATTTCTTCCGTATCTTGATGTATCCCGAGGAAACGGTTGACATACCGCCCGATTTTCGTGGCTTGCTGCGTGCGACAAGGATACGCTTCGATCCATTTCGAGAAATGGTCGACAAATACCAATAGGATTGAATATTCGCAACTATTAGGGCCAGGGGGCACCATTATGTCGGTAGTGTCCATGATCACTATTTGAAATGGCCGTTCAACAACCGTGGGCACTATCGATCTTGGCGGCTGAATCGGCGCCTTATCAGCGGCGCAAACTTGACAGCTGGCGACAATGTATTTCACATCGTCGCGGATATTGGACCAGTACCACTCATTTTTGTCGATAGAGGACTCCGTGATTCGTACAGCAAAATGAGCCGCAGTTTCCTCGTGGGCTGTCTTAACCCTGTTATACCGCATGAACGGATGCGACACTACCATCCAAATCCCACTGCCGTCCGTTTTTCGTTTTTCTAATCTACCCTCTATCCATCGATAATCCCGAGCCCTTTCGTTGACCCTCCTCCGATCTTCCTTAGTGAAATCCTGGAGGGGGTTACCTACTAGGGTGGCAATTAAGGCAATATCCGTCCATACTTCGTCCCTTCTAAACTTTCGGGTCTTTTCCAATCCTTCTGACGTGGCATCCAAAAAGCGAGCCTCGGTCGAAATTTTGTCGGTCCGGCACAAGGGGCACAACCATGGTTTACTATCGTTCCTGTATTGGATGCACGAGTCATGGGCCCGTGCAACACACTGTCGGCAATCTATCCAATCCACATATCTCACCCCGTTAGCACGCATGGAGACCGAATAGACGCGGGAGATGGCTTCGCAAAAATAGCAAAATTTGTCAGGCAGGGAGAGGAGAGACGAGGAGGAAGGGGGAGAAAGAGGGGTAAAGGGGTTACCTCCGTCACCCATCGCCACCGTTTTGCTTCTTGCCACGTGGGAGAACTACCACTTGTCCGTACTTCGGCTCGTTAGTCAAGTCCGGCTCTTTCCATGGTGTAATTTCCTCGCCCTTTGGTACCTTGACAGGTCAATGCAGACGTGTCAGCCCGTCCGCGTTGCCGTGCCGCTCTGTCTTTCGATGGACGATATCGAAGTCGTATTCTTGTAGTCGCACTGCCCAACGGCCAATCATGCCCGTGTAGTTGGTGAGTTTCTTCAGCGCTAGCAGAGGCTCGTGATCCGTTACGAGGCAAAACTTTTGTCCGTAGAGGTACGGATGGAAGTGTTGGATTCCCCAAACTACCGCATAGCACTTGCCTTGAGGTGCGGAGTCGTTTCTTCTTTCGTCTGGTACGGTTCGAGACGCGTACTCGATGACGTGTTCGCGACCATCCTTCCCCTTCTGTGCTAAAATAGCGGAAATAGCTTCCGGTTGCCAGTTCGTGATGAGAATTAACTTCTTCGAGGGGTTCGGCCGAATCAAAATGGGGGTCGTTGCCAGAGCGTCTTTGAGGGTTGCAAAGGCCTGCTGGCACTCCGCGTCCCAACTGAGAGGCTGGTCATTTCGTAACAGGTTCGTTAGCGGTCGTGCAATCGCGGCAAAGCCTTTGATGAAGCGTCGGTAGTACGACGTCAGTCCCAAGAAGGCTCGAACCTGCGTTAGTGACGTGGGAATCGGGGCTTCCTTCACCGCCACCACTTTTCTCGAATCCGGCCACAATCCTCCACGTGTCACGACGTAGCCCAAGAATGAAATTTCCGAGAGGAAAAATTCGCTTTTCTCTAGCGCAATCTTGAACCCAGCATCTCTCAATGCGCCCAATGTCCACTCAATGTGTTGCGCGTGCCCGTGATAGGTCTCCGAATAGACCAGGATGTCGTCCATGTACACGATCACACAGAAGTTGATCATCCCTTGCGTCAACCGTGTCTTGTTGACGAAATTCATGTGAAACGTGGCAGGCGCATTGCAAATCCCCATCGGACACCGAACCCACTGCCACGTGCCTTCAAACAACACAAAGGCCGTTTTCGGTCGATCTTCTTCCCTTACCAGAATATGATGGAAGCCATGCCGAATATCAAACTTGCTGAAATAATTAGCGCACCCAATCGCATCCAACAAATCATCAATCCGGGGGAGGGGATACACATCTTTGATCGTGATTTCATTCAGCTTGCGATAATCAATGCAAATGCGAATCGCTCCGTTTTTCTTCGGTACTAACACTACGGGAAAAGACCAAGGTCCAGTAGCGGGTTCAATCCAACCGCTGGCTTCGAACTCCCGAATTCTTTCGAGAGCCTTTTTGCTTTCAATCAAGGAATAGCGATAAGGTTTGCAATGAATCGGGGAGTGATTTCCTGTCTGAATTTCCTGTTGGATTACTAACGACAACCCAATGTCAGTGTCTAACACACTAATCGCTCCTTGATATTCCGTTAGAATATCCGCAATTACCCGGTGGATTTCATCCGGCACATATTGTGGAACGTGCAGTTCAAAAAGTTGGTCACAGATCCGAACGTCAATCTGTTTCGTGTTTGCCTATTTTGTCAAGTCGAGTGGAGGCGCCGAGATGAATGAATGATCCAATCGCCAGGAGAACACCGTGGTCATCATCTGAGCATCTTCTTCTCGGATTGCGACGTGCCTTTCCGGGGTAATCCCGTCGCAGACATCCTGCCATGGCACTTCCTTGGTTGCGATCTTTATCCCCAGTCCGTCTCTTTCTGCTTCAAAACGCCCAGGGGGTTCCAGAGAGCTTGCTTCCGCCCCCAAGCGTAACAATTTCACTTCTTTAGTCGATGTTAGTAAAGACCTAGGTAGTTCCGTAATGTCGCAATAATGTTTTTTGTCGCTATACCTGGCGAGGAGAGGGGTGATCCCTTCGTACAGAGTTTGAGGGGGTTCCAAAGAGTCGACCATCCTCGAAATGTGCACAAGGGGCTCTCCCAAGATCATCGCCTTGGTCCTTCGAATTTTTCGGCTGGTCAGTTGCATCGTTCTCGCTATCGTTTTGGGCGGCGGGTAGTAAACGCGTTGTCGTACCAATTTCAAGATCTCTGGATCATCTTCGTCACTGCTTTCCGCATCATCAGTTGATGGCTTCCCTTCTGTGGGTTCGTCCCAGGAGATCATGCGGAGAGTCCCTGCCATCATCGGCGAAACCCGCGGAACCGCGTTAATAGTAGTGCGAAGGGTCAATCGCATGGGCACCGCGTAGGGTTTTCCTCCTATATTTCATAGGACGATCGATCGTCGTTCGAAATCCAGGTTTGCTCGTAACGCCACAAGAGCGGGAAGTCCGAAAAGAACGTCGTACGTATTAACATCTAGTACTACGACATCCCCAAGCGCGTGTACTTTTCCTAATCGGAAGGCGACGTTGGTCATTCTCCCCACAATTTTAATCGTTTCCTCATCTGCCGAGACGAGCTGATCTTTCTCGGTGAGCATGATCAGATCGTTTTTCCTGCCTGCCCTTTCGACCACTCTTAGTGAAATAGCCAACACAGCTGCTCCGGAGTCTATAATGGCGTTGTAAGGAATTTCCCAAATTTCTATATCGCACTCTTCCGATTTCCACGGAATGGGTTTAATCCGTAGGAAATGATCGTTTTTCTGAATTAATCCTATCCGTATCGGATCCGGAGTGCTTGTTGGGTTTTCTTCCGGCGCGGGGCCTTTGGCTGCTCGGGCGAGAGCGAATCGCTTTCGATTCGCTTTACAGTGCTGTAACATTCGCTCGTTGGCTTGCTCGGAGATCGAGAGTAGATGACCGATCGGAAGGGGAATCCAATGGTCCAAGGCTCGGATGATGTTTAGCACATTGATCTCCCCTGTGACGAAGGTAGGTCCTCCCGACTCCATTTCTCCTAAGGACGGTCGCCACTCCGCCACCTCTTTTGGTTCTGATGCTGGTCTGATTGTTCCGATCATTCCTCATCCAAGATATCCCAGCGACACATACTGATCTAGCGGAATTAGCTCGGCGGCCTCTTCCGTGGTGGCCAAGGCATGATGACAGGCGTAGCAAACATTCAGATTGTTCGCAGCTCCTCCGAGAGCAGGGGCAGGGGCTAATCCTTGTTGCATCGGAGGGGCACGCACCGCAATAGGTTGCATGTTCCTCATCATGGCTTCCAGTCGAGCATTGTGCTCTTGTTGTTCCTTTTTGCTTTCTTGGATCAAACTAATCAAAGTTTTGGTTAATTTGAAAATGGCCGCCGATTCGTTTGATCGTACAGGGGCCTCTACCGGCAGCGAGGGTAATGTCCTGACAGGCGGGGGCATCATAGGAGCAGAGGTGCTCGGAGTCTCACTTATGATTACTCGTTTGGGGCCTATCTGTTCCATATAGGTGACAGATCCTGATACAAACCCCATGTTTTCAAATTTGTTCTGTAAAGCAGCCAGCTCTGCTCTTGCTCGAGCGAGCTCGGTCGAATCTCCGTCTCTAGGGTAATCTTCTCCTTCCGGGAAGTTTGCCGCGAACTTCCGTTCCATTTCTTCCGCAGCAGCCATAATTTATTGTGGTGTATGGGTGATGGGGCAAAACTGCTTTCGCAACTTAGCCCTTATTGTTCGACTGCGGAGTCCGTCAATGAACAGATATCTCCCTACTTGCTCACCTCGCCCAGTTTTTACGAACATTCGGTAGAACCGATTTCGATATTCCGCAACGGATTCGAGCGGTTTTTGCACTTGGTCCTTGATCATGTACAGCGCTTGCTCCGGGTGGACATAATCAAATCGATTCATGAAATCTCATTCGAAGGTCGGGAGATCCACCCATACATAGGTACTATACCAATGATGAGCATCTCCTCCCATTCGAGCCGGAATGTTGATCTTTGCTTCGTGATCATCGTACTGCTGTGCTCTAAGCGTGGCCACCCACGCTCCTGTGAGATGGTGCGCCAGATGAAATAGGTGGATTAGGTGGATTAGAATTTTGTTGCGGAACTGGATTTTGCATTTTGGCAGACATATTGGTTACTCGTCGGTTAGCCGATCTACTTCTGGTGATGATAGGGTCGCGTCTATGCGCATTCCGAGGGCGAGGTCGCCCACGGTTAACCAGGTCGCTTAATTAACATGCTATCAATCCTAAGACCCTAGCCACGTGTCGGGCTCCGATACCAACCTCACGCCCAGCGCGACTTCCTGATCGGAGTGGGATGTGGGTCTGGAAGTGCAAAAAGGGGTGTGCCAAGGATTTTTGGGGAAAGTGGGGGAGTCTTAAGGGTATGAATGCAATTAGGCGAGCGTGCACAAGGGACTCACGGCCCGATGGGGCCGGGGCACTATGGGCGACGGGTTACGGGAAAATTCCTCCGTGGTGGAGGTGGTCCTGAAAAGTTAGGCCGTCGGGGGCCGCCGCGTACCTGGGTTGGGCCTTCGGAATTCCGGAGTGCTCTGCGCGCCGTTGCGTCGGCAGTTCATGCAAAACATATTGGGTCAATAGGGAGCTATGGCCGGCCACGGGATGACACTGAGTTGATGTTACGGGAAAAGGAGGCGGAAAGGAGGGAAACTAGTGGTGATCTCAACGAATTCTGGGTGGGTGAAGTAGTAGGTGTGGTCGGGGGAAGGAAAATCGGAGCACCGAGGGTCGCTAGTGGTGGCACAGTGGAATTCCCGCGGACATAGCCGATTCTCCGTGTGACAGGGGTATCGTGTCCTTATGAGCTCGTTTATTATAGGGGTGAAATAGTCCGGGTCATAGGATGAGTCTGAGCCCCAAGATCACGTCATGGTGTCATTGTCGGTGTGATAGCGCGGGTCGGGATATCGCCACCACGTATGAGCACGTGTTGGACAGGCGAGCTTAGTTGCGCCCCGTCGTGCTCGTGCGGGATGGTGGCTCCGCCGCGAGTCCTGTTTGGGCGGGCGAATCGACGCACGGGAATGCGCGTAAGGGCGTGACTCGGATCGTGTTTATACGTGTTCTCGCGCGTCGTTCACGGGGCCAGACTTTGGATAGTCGATTATGCAAGATGCTACCACAACACAATCCCCATCATGAGATAAGCAAAAACGAGAACGAAGTCGACATCGGGGCCAGACTCTTATCCCATCTATCACTGCATATGGTGCAAGCAAAGATTCAGCGCAACCAAAAAGCAAGAGCAGGGATTATCCGCAAAAGAGATAGGCAAGCAGGCGTAACATTCATGGATCCATACATTCGACAATTATACACATAATACAAGCAAAAACGGACATCACGAAGACAAATGTGAGCAAAAATCAAAGCCCAGATTTCAGAAGGCCGAAACGAAAATAAGAACGGGCAAACCGCCCAAAGCCGTAATCAAAATGTAGGTACATAGGTGAAGAGGGGGAAGAGACAAAGAAACCGCAAATCCATGTCCATCAACCGCAACTCTCTTCTCCTCTCTCTCTCTCTCCGATGCGGACAGTCCGTCGTCACGCACCAACCCATGAAGTTGTCACCCCGTTTAG